CCGGGGGGATTGCTGAGACGTTGGCTGCTTGGTGGGGGTGGGTGGTGAAGGAGAAGGCAGAAGTGAATCACTCATCTGGGGATGGGCACAGGCTGTCCCAGGGACCCCAGATCCAGGTGCCCCAAATGACACCAGTGCAAAGCTGGGGGAAGGGAACGAGCCGAATGAATCTGGGCTCGGCAGTGGCGGTGTCACCACCCTGCCCACACGGTCTGTGTCCCTTGGCCTGCCCGCCAGGGCCGGGTCTCCCATCTTGCCCACCACGTCTGGGTCCCACTGCCCGCGGCTGCTGCTGGCCTTCTGAAGAAAAAATGAAAATAATAATAAAAAAAGTAATTAAAAGGAGGGGGAAAGAACTACCATCTTCACTGACAGCTCATAGTGCCAGAAGACCATGAGCCAGCCTCAGCCCAAATGGTTGAATTAAAGGCTCTGGCTATGGCATTCTAGAGATTTTCTCAGCACTTCTGAGTTTGATAACAGTTTTACACAGAAAGGTAATCCTGAATACCATCCAGTTTGAGCTTGGGCTGTGGCCAGGTCCTTACTCTACCTGGGTGTGGATGATTGAAAATCTCGAGATCTCCTCTGGTCCGGTCTGGTTGGGAAGATCCTGAGGTGTGTCTTTGTTAAAAGTCTCTTCTCCCCAACCCAGCAGCCGAAGAAGGAGTCGAGAAGTCTTCGGTTGTCATTCTCAAGGTTGTTTATTATTTATCTCAAACATTTTCTGTCTGGCCTGCCAAGGTCTGTTCTGCAGGTCTGTCCGAGGCACACTCTCCGTCTCTTGGGCTGGTGCTATCTTTTATACTAAAAACTACATATACTATGTTTACAATTATGTTCCAATACCTATCACCTATGTTAGACAGTGACTTTCTACTCTAAACCAATCTGTGAATGCCAACATCATCCTGAACATGGATGCCAGGGAGAAGAAAGAAGGACAGGGCACACCCAAATCCCTCCATCTTGGAACCCCTGACCCCCAAGTACAGAGTTCCAAATCCCCTGTACAAGGTTGAAAACCCCCCTGTACAGTGCTCCAAAATTTTTCCCTTCACCCTGTGATTGCTACTACTATGCTACTTAAACTTTTGTGATTCGGACATCTCCATATAAAGTTGGCAATTTGCTCCATGGGTTGAGATTGAATTTCCAGGTGTCTTTGGCTTCGGGCCAGGGTCTCCGAGCCCCTGCAAGGGCTTTGAGCCATCCAGACGGGATTCTGAATGTGGGTAATGACAGAGAACCCATAGTAAAAGACCCTTGAGTTCCTTCTCAGGAATTTCCACAGGATATGTGGCCGTCACACGCTGTAGGGCGGACAAGATGCTAAGTTGCTCTTGGGAATAAGCTCCCACCATGTTCTTAATTTTGACCCCTCATACAAAAACCTGAGTCATCTGCAAAATCAATCTGGAGGTTTTCCTGGACATCGGCCAGCAGATCTCAGGTGAGGAACTCCCAGGCGCCTTCCATGTTTCCTCCTTTCCTGGTCGAGATTGAAGTGACTTGTCTCAGCAGAGGTCAAGTTGTCTGTTCAGGAATCTTTCTCCAATGGTGTGCCTCTTCTCTGGCTGGGATTTGACATCTCATGTTCAGTGGCCTGGGCAGGCAAGCCCATGGCGACCCAGGGAAGCCAGTGTCAGAGTCTCTGTGGTCAAGATGACCCCAAGGTGTTGGAAAGTCTCTTTTTTCCCAGTCCTGCGATCAAAGAAGGAGTCGGAATTCCTCAGCTCTGGTTTCTAGGTTGTTTATTTTTCCTTATCTATAACATTCTTTCTCTGACCTGTTGAGTGGCACACTGACCACCTTCAGGACAGTGTTATCTTTTTAAACTAAAAACTACATGTACTTTATTTACAATAATTTTTCAATACCTATCACCTATGTCAAAGAGTCTGCCTCTAAACCAATCTAAAACTGCCACCATCACAGCAGAAGATGGAGGACAAGAAGGAGGAGAAAGACAGAACAAGCCCAGATTCCTCCATCTTGCCTCTTGAACCCCCATTCTAAAAACCCCAAAATTCTGCATTTTCTACCTGTGACAAATTCATATCATTCTATTCAAACTCTTGTGGCTTGTACATCTTCATGCAAAGTTGGTAGCTTTTTCCATGGGCTAAACTCAAAGACACAGGTGTTTTTGACCCTGTGCCAAGGTCTCTGAGCCCCCTGCCAGGGTCTTGAGTCCTCCAGGGCAGCCAGAGGAGTGTCCTGGGTTCTGACAAATCATAACTCATAGAATGGTATCAGCCCATTGGGAGATGCTCCGCCCAGGGGGAGGAGCTCAGCATCCCCACCTGGATATAATCTGGGCTTTGGGACAGGACAGGCAGCCCTTACCCACTGGTTTCCAGAGGACAAGAGCTACCAGATCTTTTCTATGGGATCACCACTTCAGCAAGACCATTTCATCTGGACTGCTACCACCACCGCCCTAACTAGCAGCGTGTCAGGTTGTATTCTGACTCTGTCAGTGGTTTCATTTTGTACTATTACATATATTTTGGGGTTTTTTCCCTTTTCCTAATAAATTGTGTTTCTGCCTTGGAGTTTCTCACTGGTTTTGCTTTTAAACCAAAACAATTTGCCACTGGCGATGGTTGTTTGGCTTGATTGACCAATTGGATCCACCTGTGTGTTGTGACTGTCAGACAAGGGTAATGGGTTTCTCTTAGTAGTAAAATATGGTATAACAAAGCGATTGATCCGCCTGCTGCAATCATGGAGCCAATGCTCATTATTTCCAAGTGGGGACCACTGCTATGATAAGGACTGATGATTTTTCTTTCATCACTGGACAGTCCTTTTTCCAATGTCCCCATTTCTTACAGGATGCGCTCTGGTCCTTCTCCACAAGGGAAGCTTTCTTGGGTGACTTTTCCTGAGCTGCTTTCCTCCTAGGTTGGGATTAACTCTTTCAGTGGAGCCCCTTCTCAAAATACCTTTCAGGCAACATCCAGGAGTTTATCTCTGTCTTAAACTCCCTTCATCTTTGCTTTTTATATCATTTGAAACCTGATCCACACAGAACAAAACCAGCTGTGCTTTACCATCAGCTGGTTCAGGATCTAGATCAGTATATTTGATGGCAGTTTGTCCTCAATTGTTTAAAAAAATCAGTGGGAGATTCATCATAATTTGGCCCTGTTTGGTAAAGCTTTGACCAATTTACAGCTTTAGAGACCCCATGTTTTAACCCACACATCACGAGGCTTTGATATCATTTTAATTTTGCCATCTGTTCGGGTGTATTTGCATCCCACGAAGAACTGGTGACAGCTGAGGGGGTCTTGGTGACACGAAGAGCTGGTGGCACTCGAGGAGCTGGTGGCACTCAGGGAGGTGGTGACACTTGAGGGACTCTTGGTGACATGAGGAGCTGGTGGCACTCAAGGAACTGGTGGCACTTGAGGGAGCTGGTGGCATTTGAGGAGCTCTTGGTGAAACGAGGAGCTGGTGGCACTCGAGGAACTGGTGACATTTGAGGGGGTCTTGGTGACATGAGGAGCTGATGGCACTTGAGGAACTGGTGGCACTTGGGGAGCTGGTGGCACTTGAGGGGCTCTTGGTGACACGAGGAGCTGGTGGCACTTGAGGAACTGGTGGCACTTGAGGGGCACTTGGTGACATGAGGGGCTGGTGGGACTGAAGTGTCCACAACTTTCTCCAGTGACATCACTGCCCTAATGATTTCACACCGGAGACATCACTGTCCCCACAGCATGTCACTGTGATATTTCATGTAAAATCCCTTTGCCAGGATTTTTTCTCCTGGCAAGCTTCAGCTTCTCCATGTTGTGCTGCTTTGGAATGCGGTTTGGAGAATTGTTTATCCAAACATGTGAATTGTTTTCAATTAATGGCCAATCAAAACCAGCTGTGTCGGACTCTCTGCTCTTTTCTACCTTTCTGATGTATCCTTTTGATATTTCTTTAGTATAGTTTTAGCATCGCGTATTTAATATAATATAATATCATAAAACAATAAATCATCCTGAAAAATGGAGTCGGATTCTTATCTCTTCTCTCATCCTGGGACCTACAAACACCACCACAACAGCAGCCTCGGGATGTCCTCGATGGCTTTTTGGCACTGCTCGTCTACTGTGCGGCTGCCGGGGCCACCGGGGCCGCCATGGTCACCACAGGGACTCAAGAGGATGTTGTCGATGACCCCAAGTGTCCCCAGCAGGTGATCCTTGGCCAGGCGGGCGCTGGCCACCCACAGCCACTCAAACTCGGCCACCTTGGCCACTAAGGCCTGGAGGACATCAGGGGATACCTCATTTGTCCCCTTCAGGATGGCCTTGATGTCCTTGAGCCGGCACTCCATGTTCCAGTTGAATAAGGTGGCTTTGTCACACATGGCCACCAAACGCTGCAGTGGCCCCAGGGCCACCTCGGCCCAATGTCCCCTCCTGGTGGCCGCCACAGCCTCTCCCATGGCCTCGTTGGTGGCTGCCACCACCTGGGCATCGTGTGTGGCCATTTCCCGGGCCACCTCCTCCTTGTCCCGGGCCACCATCAGCTGCTGGTCTGTGACCACCTTCCTGCAGGTGTCACGGAGCTTGGTGGCTTCCCTGGCCAGCTGGTCCCAGCAGTCCACAAGCCTGGCCACCAACTCCCGCCAGGCGCTGGCCACGGCTCTCACATTGGCCTGGGTGGTCCCAGAGGCTGTCCTGAGGGCGGCCAGGGCCCGGCCCAGGGAGGGGATACCAGAGTTGCCCAGAGAGGTGACATCACCGTGGTCCAGGATCTTACAGAGGCTCCGGGTGAAGTTCTTCAGGTCCTCATGCAGGGTGTCTGGGGACTCGTGCAGGAACTTGCCCCTGTGTGGCCCGGTCACAGTGGCCACCACCTCGCCCAGGGTGGCCACCACGGCCACCAGCGCATGCAGATGCGGAGGGGACACCTGGGGAGGGGACAGAGAAGGTGTCAGGGACCTGGTGGCACTTGTAGCTTCCTGCAGTGGCCATTGTGCCATCAAGGGATCACCTTTGCCACTCAGTCCCTTTGTCATTCTTCAGGTCCTCATGCAGGGTGTCTGGGGACTCGTGCAGGAACTTGCCCCTGTGTGGCCCGGTCACAGTGGCCACCACCTCGCCCAGGGTGGCCACCACGGCCACCAGCGCATGCAGATGCGGAGGGGACACCTGGGGAGGGGACAGAGAAGGTGTCAGGGACCTGGTGGCACTTGTAGCTTCCTGCAGTGGCCATTGTGCCATCAAGGGATCACCTTTGCCACTCAGTCCCTTTGTCAGCATTTTGTCTCCACTGCCACCCCTCACAAGCCCCCCTGTCCCTTCCCCTCCTTGTGTCCCCCCATTTCCATTGCTCCCCCCCTCACAGTGGCCCCCCCCATACCAGTGTCCCTTCTGTCCCCCTCTGCCCCCTGTCCCACCTCTCGTGGCTCCATGCTGACTGGGGACACCTCGGGGATGCTCTGGGGACACTCCGGGGGTCGAAGGAGCCTTGGGATGTCCTCGGTGGCTCTTCGGCACCGCTCGGCCACTCCACAGCCACTGGGGCTGGCGGGACGACCAGTGAAATAGAACTCGATGATGCTGTCAACTGTCCCCAGCAGGTGATTCTTGGCCAGGTGGGCGTTGGCCTCCAACAGCCGCTCGGCCATGGCCACTTTGGGCACCAAGTCTTCAGGGACATCGGGGGATGCCACATTTATCCCCTCCAGGGCAGCCTTGATGTCCTTGAGCAGATGCTGCAGCTCCCGGGGGAGGGCGGTGGCTTCGTCACACGCGGCCACCAAGCGCTCCAGCAGTCCCAGGGCCGCCTCCAGCCGCTGTGTCACCCTGGTGGCTGTGGTTGCCTCGCTGGCAGCCTCCCTGGCCTCTTCCCTCACCTCGGCTTTATGCCCAGCCACCACCTCTGCCCCCTCCTCTGCACCTGGGGTCTCACCCAGCTCCGCCATGTTTTCGTGAGCTGTCCCATCACGGGCAGCCTCCTCCTGCAGCTCCCTGGCCTGGGAGGTAGCCTCCCTGTGGGCCACCTCATTGACCACCCTCCTGCAGGTGTTGCGGAGCTTGGTGGCTGCCCTGGCCCGCTGGGCCCAGCCGTTAACAAGCCCAGACACCGACCTGTGCCAGTGGCAGGCTGTCAATCTTACATGGACCTGGGTTGTCCATGGGATGTTCTTCCACGCAGCCAGGGCTTGGATTATGCTGGTAGGAGGGTCATCATCATCATCAAAGATGACATTGCGGTACCACCAGGTGTCATCAATGCGGTACAGGGTGTCCTGGAACTCCTTGGTGAATTCCTCCAGGTCCCAGTACAGGCATGTTGGGGACATGAGCAGCCGCATCATCTCATCCACCCTGGGCAGGGTGGCCAGCAGCTCACCCAGGATGGCCACCACAGTAACCTGTGGCTGCAGCAAGGCCGGGGACAACTGGGGAGAGGACAGGGAAAGTGTCAGGGACCTGGTGGCACTTACAGCCTCCTGGGGTGGCCCCATACTCCCAAGGGGTTCCCTTTGCCCCCTCAGTCCTTTTGTCACACTCTTGTTCCCTCTGCCATCCCCTGCCCCTCCCCACATAGCTCCTTCTGCCCCCTGCCCCTCTGCTGTCTCCTCTGCTACCCCCTGCCCCTCTGCTGTCCCCTCTGCCACCCACTACCACCACACTCGTAGCCTCTGCCATAGCTGCTGTCCCCTCTGACACCCCCCGTGTCCCCCGTCCCCAATGCCCCAGCTTCCCGTGTCCCCTTTCCCTCTTTGTCACCCCCCCGCCAATCCCTCCTCCCCTTTTGCGACCCCGTCCCCCTCCACACACTCTTGTTCCCTCTGCCATCCCCTGCCCCTCCCCACATAGCTCCTTCTGCCCCCTGCCCCTCTGCTGTCTCCTCTGCTACCCCCTGCCCCTCTGCTGTCCCCTCTGCCACCCACTACCACCACACTCGTAGCCTCTGCCATAGCTGCTGTCCCCTCTGACACCCCCCGTGTCCCCCGTCCCCAATGCCCCAGCTTCCCGTGTCCCCTTTCCCTCTTTGTCCCCCCCCCGCCAATCCCTCCTCCCCTTTTGCGACCCCGTCCTCTTCCACCACCCACCGTTTCCCCTCCATCCCTCATTGCCCCCTTAACCCCCCACCTTGTCCCCTCCCCCCACCACGTGTCCCCTCTGTCCCCCTCTCCCATCGCACCTCTTGGAGCTCCATGCTCACTGAGGACAGCTTGGGGACACTCTGGGGACGCTCCGGGGCTTGAAGGAGCCTTGGGATGTCCTCGGTGGCTCTTCGGCACCGCTCGGCCACCCTGTGGCAGCGGGGGCTGTCGGGACCACAGCGGAAATAGCAGTCGATTATGTCCTCAAGTGTTCCTCCCAGATGATCCTTGGCCAGCCGGACGTTGGCCTCCCACAGCCACTCAGTCACAGCCACCTTGGCCACCAAGTCCTCAGGGACATTTGGGGATACCTCATTTGTCCCCTTCACGGCAGCCACGATGTCCCCAACCCTGCGCTGCAGCTCCCGGGGGAAGGCGGTGGCTTCGTCACACGCGGCCACCAAGCGCTGCAGCAGCCCCAGGGCCGCCTCCGCCCGCTGTCTCATCTTGGTGTCCCTTGCTGCCCAGCTGGCAGCCATCCTGGCCTCTTCTCTCACCCAGGCTTCATGCCTGGCCACCACTGCGGCCCCCTCCTCCTCACCTGGGCCCTGACCCAGCTCCACCATGTTTTCCTGAGCTGTCCCATCACGGGCAGCCTTGTCCTGCAGCTTCGTGGCCCGGGCGGTGCTGGTGGCCTCCCTGTCGGATGCCTCTGTGACCACCTCCCTGCAGGCATTGTGGAGCTCGGTGGCTGCCCTGACCAGCTCGGCCCAGCTGTTCACAAGCACAGCCACCGACCCCTGCCACTCGCTGGCCACCAGTGTCACATGGTTCTGGGGGGTCCATGGGGTGCTCTCACAGGTGGCCAAGGCCCGCCTCAGGGGGGTCGGAGGGTCATCATCACCAGAGGTGACATTGCGGTGCCACCAGATGTCATCAGTGCAGTACAGAGTGGCCCGGAGATCCCTGATAAATTCCTCCAGGTCCCAGTACAGGCACCTTAGGAACAGCAGCATCATCTCGTCCAGACTGGGCAGGGTGGCCAGCAGCTCGCCCAGGATGGCCACCACGGTGATCTGTGGCTGCAGCAGGGCTGGGGACAGCTGGGGAGGGGACAGGGGAGGTGTCAGGGACCTGGTGGCACTTGTGGCAACCTGAGGTGGACCCCTGCCCCTGAAGGATCCCCTTTGTCCCCTCCATCCCTTTGTCAACCTCTTGTTCCCTCTGCCCCTACCCCCGTAGCTCCTCCTGCCCCACTGCTGTCCCCCTACCACCACACTCATAGCCCCTGCCACTCCCCGCTATCCCCTTTGTCATCCCCCTACAGCCCTCATGTCCCCCACCACCGTGTCCCCCCATCACCCACTGCCCCCTGCCTACCATGTCCCCACCCCCTCTGTCACCTCCCCCCTTCCTGCCGCTTCCCTGTCCCCTTCAAGATTCCCTGTCCCCTCCTACCACCCCCCATGTCCCCCCCATACCCCATTGCCTCCTCCCCATCAAATGTCCCACTCTGTCCCCCCCTCCCCCCATCGCACCTCTTGAAGCTCCATGTTCACTGGTGAATCCTTGGAGACACCTTGAGGGCACTCTGGGGGTCGAAGGAGCCTTGAAATGCCCTCAGTGGCTCTTTGGCACCGCTTGGCCACCCCACAGGCGGTGTTGGGACCACAACTGAAATACAGGTTGATGGTGTCATCAAGTGTCCCCTCCAGATGATCCTTAGCCAGGCGGGCGTTGGCCTCCCACAGCCGCTCAGCCACGGCCACCTTGGCAACCAAGTCCTCAGGGACATTGGGGGATGCTTCATTTGTTCCATCCAGGGCGGCTTTGATGTCCCCAACCCTGCGCTGCAGCTCCCGGGGGAGGGCGGTGGCTTCGTCACACGCGGCCACCAAGCGCTCCAGCAGCCCCAGGGCCACCTCCACCCGCTGTCTCACCGTGGTGGCCCTTGTTGCCTTCCTGAGCAGGCGCTGCAGCGCCTGGGGGAGCGCAGTGGCTTCGTGACACGCGGCCACCAAGCGCTCCAGCAGCCCCAGGGCCGCCTCCGCCCGCTGTCTCACCGTGGTGGCCCTTGTTGCCTTGTTGATAGCCACCCTGGCCTCTCTCCTCACCTGAGCTTCATGCCTGGCCACCACCTCGGCCCCCTCCTGCCTGCCCAGGGCCTGACCCAGCTCCACCATGTTTTCCTGAGCTGTCCCATCATGGGCAGCCTTGTCCTGCAGCCGCCTGGCCCAGGCGGTGGCCATTCTATATCCTGCCTCAGTGGCCACCTCCCTGCAGGTGTTGCGGAGCTTGGTGGCCGCCCCGGCCTGCTGGGCCCAGCTGTCCACAAGAGCATCCACCAACTCGTGCCAGTGCCAGGCCTCCACTGTCACGTGGAACCAGGTGGTCCATGGGGTGCTCTCGTAGGCAGCCAGGGCGCGGCTCAGGGAGGTCGGAGGCTCATCACCATCACAGGTGACACTGCGATGCCACCAGGTGCCATTAATGCGGTACAGGGTGGCCCGGAGATCCTTGCAAAATTTCTTCAGGTCCGAGTACAGGCGCAATGGGGACACGAGCATCTTCATCTCGTCCAGCCTGGGCAGGGTGGCCAGCAGCTCGCCCAGGGTGGCCACCACAGTGACCGGCGGGTGCAGCAGGGCCGGGGACAGCTGGGGAGGGGACAGGGGAGGTGTCAGGGACCTGGTGGCACTTGTGGCCTCCTGCGGTGGCCCCGGGGTCCCTTTTTCCCTTTGTCCACCCACCCCGAGGGCTCTGCTGTCCCCTATGTCCCTTTGTCATCCCCCTGACCCCTGTGCCACCCCCCACTGTCGCCCCCGCGTGCCCCCCATCCTCTACTGTCCCCTCCCTCCCATCGCACCTCTTGGGGCTCCATGCTCCCTAGGTTCTGAGGGAGAATGGGGGCTCTTGAGGGGATTTGGGATGTCCTGAGGGGATTTGGGGGGTGTGAGGGAAAACTGGGGCTCGTGAGGGGGTTTGGGGAATTCTGAGGGGATGTGGAGGGTCCTGAGGGGGTTTGGGGTTCCTGAGGGAGAATTGGGGGTTCTGAGAGAGAACTGGGGAGATCTGAGAGGATCTGGGGGGGTCTTGAGTGGATTTGTGGGTCCTGAGGAGGTTTGGAGGGGTCATGAAGGGGTTTGGGGGCACTGAGGGGATGTGAGGGTATTTTGGGGGCATCTGAGGGAGAATTGAGGGTCCTGAAGGGGTTTCGGGTGGATTTTGGGGAGTTCTGAGGGAGAATTGAGGGTCCTGAAGGGGTTTGGGGGGAATTCAGGGGGTCCTGAGGGAGAATTGGGGTTGTGAGAGGATTTGAGGGGGATTTTGGGGAGTCCTGAGGGTGTTTGGGGGGTCCTGAGGGGATTTTAGGGGGTCCTGAGGGGATTTTGAGGTTCCTGCAGAAATTTAGTGGGGATGTTGAAGGGTCGTGAGGGGATTTTGGGGGATCCCAACTGGGTTTTGTACATTTTGAAGAAATCTGGGGGAATTTTGGGGGGTCCTTGACTGGATTTCGGGGTTCATAACTGAATTTTGGGGGTTCTGGGCTGATTTTGGGGGTCCCTGACCAGAGTTATGGGGGATTTGGGGTAATTTTGGGGTCCCTGCCATGATTTTGAGGATTCCTAATGGGATTTTGGGGTCTTTTGGGGTAATATTGGGGCCCTGACTTGATTTCAGGGTGTCCCTGACTGGATTTTGGGGTATTTTGGTGTAATTTTTGGGTTACTGATGAGATTTTGGGTATTTTGGTGCAATTTGGGGGTATTTTGGGGTAATTTCGGGGTCCCTGATTGGATTTTGGGGGTCTCTGATGGGATTTTTGGAGTGATTTGGTGCAATTTCAGGATTCCTGATGGGATTTCAGGGAGTCTGTGACTGGAATTTGGGGCAATTTTGGGCAGCTTTGGGGGGAATTTTGGGGTGCCTGACGGGATTTTGGGGTGATTTGGGATAATTTCAGGGTCCCTGAAGGAATTTTGGGGTAATTTTGGAGTCTCTGATGGGGTTTCGGGGTATTTTGGTGCAATTTTTGGTGTAATTTGGGTTAATTTTGGGGTCCCTGACAGGATTTTGGGGTGATTTGGGGTAATTTCGGTGTCCCTGATGGAATTTTGGGGTATTTGGGGGTAATTTTAGGGTCTCTGATGGGATTTTGGGGTATTTTGGTGCAATTTCTGGGGTAATTTGGGGTATTTTTGGGGTCTGTTCTGGTATTTGGATGTTAATTTGGGGTATTTTGGTGTATCTTGGTTTGAACAGACAGGTGTGTGCTGAGGAGGGCAGGAGACCCCTGAAATGGAAAATGTGAACCCCTTCCCTCTGAATTGTTATAAATTTGAAAATAAAAGGCTCTCAGGCAAACACATGGGAGCAGGAATAACAGTTCTTTATTTGGAAAATAAAATAAAATAAAATAAAATAATTAAAATTAAGAGTAATATGGAAATAAGAATAAAAATGAAATAAAAATAAAACAAAGTAATAAATAATTAAAGGATAAAAATAAAAATAAGATAAAAATAAAATGAAGAATAAAAATTCAAGAAATAAAAAGACAGAAATAAAAATAAAAATTAGATTAAAATAAAATTTAAAATTTTAAATGAAAAAGAAATAAATAATCTAAAGATAGAAATAAAATATTAATAAGATAAAATAATTTAAAAATATATAAATAAAACCGATATAAAACCAAAAAAGCACCTGAAACCCCCCAGGAACACCTGGAACCGCCCAAAAACCACCTGGACCGACCTAAAAACCATCGGGGACCCCCCCAAATCCACCTGGGACCCCCCCAAAAGCTCACCTGTCCCCTCCCCCGTGATGTCACAGGTGTGGCCATGCCCCTTCCCCCCCCTGCTGGTTTCTATTTTTGGGTCGATTGGGGACAGTTTTTGGTTTCCATTTTTGAAAATCCAACTGGGGGCGGGGCCAAGGCTCTTTAGAGGGCGGGGCTTTGGGAGGGGGCGGGGCCAGAACGCATAACTGGGACTTGGGAGAGGCGGGGCCTGAAGGGGTGGGGCAGCAGTGGGCGTGTCCAGCAGCAAGGGGTGGGACTAGAAATGCAGGGCGTGGCCTAAAAGGGGTGTGGTCAACACCTGGGGGTTTGTCCTGCCCCCTCCTGCCCCCCAAATTCCCTGGAGAGAGAGAGGGAAATGGGGATAAAAAGGAGCCTGTGACCCCAAAAATTGGAGAGAGCCCAGGGGAATGCCCCGTGGCCTCTGCCTTTATTGGGATAAAGCAAAAGGATTCTTCTGGCTGATTTTTGGACATAAACCTCTGGGGTTTGGCGATTGATTTCCCTGACAATAGCAGAAATAAACGCAATTTTAACATTGTACATATAGAATCCATTTTAATATTTGTGAAAAACCAACAAGATAATCTGTATTCATAAGAATTATACATATAGAATACATCTTAATATTTGTGAAAAGCCAACAACATAATCAGTATTTATAACACACTGAGAGGTAAAGACACACTCCTGACAGGACTCCTTGATAGAGGAGCTGTTATCTCACAGTGTGGCTGTTATCTCAGGTGTGGCTGTTATCTCAAAGTGTGGCTGTTATCTCAGCTGTGGCTGTTATCTCAAAGTGTGGCTGTTATCTGAGGTGTGGCTGTGTCCTAGGGTGACATTATGATTCTTGTATCCCCACTCTTCTATTCTGTTTATGCTGGAGATCATGTCCTGTACCTTCCAGACTGGTGAGACAGAGTGGAAATTTTCCAGAGCAGAAATCCACTTTGATTCAGGTGCAATGTGCATCCTTGAATTCAGTCAGCAGCTTGCAAACCCAGCTCTTTGGTCTGACTGCCTGTACTCAAAACAACCTATGCTCTAAGAAACGGCCTCAGCTGAAGGGCAGAGATAAGGAAGGGCCCCTTGAGCACTGAGACAGAGGAGAGGCTGCAGGAGACAGGGCAGCATGACCCAGCAGTTCTTTCTGTACCTTCTGATCAAAACCAGCTGCAAATGTAACTAACCAAAATCAGTAAAATGAATATTTATGAACCTGCTGAGAAATGCCACGCGTATGGATTAGCAAGGGAGATAAAAGCAGATCTGAGTTCCCAGAGGTGCACGTGTCCATTTGAGGGGAACGATCCCCCCGTGCACCCAGCACTGTAACACACCCCGCCTTCACAGTGCAGTTTGTCTGCTCTGCCAATCACAGTTATAACACTAAATAGTTATATAATACTGAATGTTATCATTATAATAGATGTAGTTATACTATAGTTCTAATTACAGCTGTAACATGAAATAGTTATAGTTATAATAGTTACAGTTCTATTACAGTTCCAATACGAAATAATTCTATAACACCAAATAGCTCTACTGAAAAAATCCCAACAAAACACAGGGTTAAAAAAAGGCAAGGAATTGGAAATTGGACCTGGGCTGGGTGTCCCTCACAGCTTTAGATCTGTATCAAATGTCACTTCTGAGAGCTGGGATTCTTCTCCTCAAGCTTTAAATCACCTGGGGGCTTCAGCCAGGGCCCCTTGTGGGGGTGTGGAGTGTGCCAGGGGCTCCTGAGGCACCGTCCTTAGTGGCCACTCACTGGGCCATTGGCCTTTGAGATAAAAACCACACCTGAGATAACAGATATATCTGAGATAACAGCCACACCTGAGATAACAGATATATCTGAGATAACAGCCACACCTGAGATAACAGATATATCTGAGATAACAGCCAGAACTGAGATAAAAACCACACCTGAGATAACAGATATATCTGAGATAACAGCCACACTTGAGATAACAACTACATCTGAGATAACAGCCACACC